TCAAAAAAGACGTGACAGTGAGGAATGACCAATGATATTCAGGGTTATCTCATAATCAGCCAATGGGGTTCGAGTTCGCGGAAGATTGACAGCAGGGATTGATGACGTCTGACAGCGGCCTCGACCCGCCCTGTTTGGTGTATCACATCAGAACGCATTACGGATCATCTTTGGCACATTCATTTTTACCACATGAATTGACTCATTTTAAACGTTTATAATTAAAAAACAACCGTCTAACTGAAACATTGTATTGGATGCAACTGCTTTCCTTCTTATAGCAGTATCAAAATTCCTGTCGAAATGGTCATTACAATATCTGTGCTCAGTATGAGGATATGTTTTCACCGGATGTTGAGACCACTAATAATTCATTTGACCGCCTGTTGTTATCTTGACTTGCACAAGCAGACTCTGAGTCTACTGTACATATATGGCTCCTTAATAATACAGAAATGGTCCTTGATACATGATACACAGACAACAATTGGTGAAATAATACTATTCTTAAATTACACAAAGGTTGTTTTACATATTCAAATTTTAGGTCAGTTATTGTGATACTGAAATTAATCTTCCAGTTCAATACTCTATTATACAGCAGTCCACAGCAATATGACTGAGATTAAAGGCTGTAATACATTGGTAAGCTTTAAACTACCTGCTGACGTCTTTTTTTTACATTATTTATTTTGATTAAAGGCATAATGACTGTCCTTGTGGAATGGTTGTAATAGCATAAATAACATTAAGTAAAAAAATAAAAATAAAATAAAATTTCTTAACACAGTAGTAATTGCACTTAAACAAAACTAGTCAAGTTTCCAATTATCTTTCAACAATGGTGTCTCTGTCAATGGTATAATAAAATACAGCATTAATGATTATTTCTGTTAAAAGACACCATAACAACAACAAAATATTTTACCACATTATTCTAAGCAATGGTATTTATGATAAAATATAAGCCAGTGTTTCTTAAAGTTTTACAGAGGCATCTGTACATTTCAACCACCAGCAGTGTTCCAATATCCAATGTGATACCTACAAACATGCAGATTTGTATAGAAATGCCTATTTGGTATGCTTCAGATAAGCACAGAGAATAAACAACAGGGACAGCAGACATTCAGGTCTGAAGACTTCAAAATGGAAAATGAGAGAACAGTGCGTATGAACTTGAGAATACAGTAATTTGAGCCAGTACCTAATATATATTTGCATATAACTAGCTGGGTATTGTGCAATCTACATTAGTCTTTGGCCTTTGGTTGATAAAGCTGGACTGTCTGTAGTATCTCTGGTACAAAGCAGTAGCAGAATCCAAATTTTCTGAGGTATTTTTAGGCTTTCAGGTTATCCTTATTAGCTTTTTGAAATTTGATAGGAAACCGGGAGTGGTCATGAAGTCAGTCAGCACATTTAAGGTATGATTACAAATATGAGTATCATACAAAGATAACATGCCAATATCTTAGGTTAAAATCAACGCCACCAATGAAAGGACCTTATTTGCATCCTAACACAGTGGTTCCCAACCCTGGTCCTTGAGGCACCCCAACACTGCACATTTTGCATGTCTCCTTAATCAAACACACCTGATTCAGACCATCAGCTCATTAGTAGAGACTTCAAGACCTGAAATTGGTGTGTCAAAGACATGCTAAATGTGCAGTGTTGGGGTGCCTCCAGGACCAGGGTTGGGATCTACTGTTCTAACATACAGTAAGTCTGTTATAGCTTGGTTTCCCGGCTCAGGATCAGACGAGAGAAAGTTCTAGAATGATCCAATATTCTGGAACTGTGCTCTAGAAGTGCTGTGAATAAACAAATGCTTCAACACAGTAGCATTTCTCAAGTAAAATCAGTCTTAATTGCACTTCAGACACATTTCCGCTCAGTCTTTTTTCAGTTCTGATGGTTGGTATGGGCTAACAGGACTGGGAGAGACAGACAGCTCTTGGTCCACCGGAAGCGTCACAGGAGCCACACTATCGTTGTTCTCCAGTGCGCCATATGAAAAAGAGCCGTTATAATCTGGCTGCACAGCCCAGCCTTTGTTGTGAATGGTCGGAATGCCTGATTTGACAGAAAAGACAAGAAGTGTTTAAACTAATAGGATGATTAATTGTTTGGCTTGATGACAGAAATGACAAGTCATACCTTTTGCCATGTCCATAGTGACATATGGCTCAAAAGCTTTGGCCTTCCTCTTGGTTTTAGTGATCAGGAACACTCCAAGAAAGCATATAGCACACCTGCAGGAATGTTAAAAAGACACATGGTAACAAATCCTAGATTCCAAGGGCCTCAACGCTAGTCTGTTAGTCACTGCTACCGCTAACAAAACAAACTTGTGTGGAATTTCATGGCCAAATAGTGGGCTGCACTGTGATCATTAAATCATGGTAAAAATGTATGATAGTCTTTTTTTTTTTTAAGAGAGGACACAATCTAACGTATGAAAACAAAAACTGTATTAAACTTTCATGCTTTGACCAATGTACTATTTTTCCTTTTATGGTGCTTAACATCTGGTCATTATTCACTTTCATTTATAAAACTAGCAGCGTGAATATCTTGCCTCAGTTTGTTTTCAACAGAGAAAGAAAGAAAGTCCTAATGTTTGAGAACGACATGAGATGCACAATCTCTTCAACAACTGAACATGTGCTTGAACGTTCAGCTACGCGCTCGCTGTGTTACAGCGCCATCTAGTGGCTGTTACACGAGTACAATGTGTGTACATTATGGCTGTAATCTTATAAACGTGTCTCTAAAATAGAAAGTGTTGTGTTCGCTAACCTGGAGCGAATGCAAACATGCGTGGTGCTGAATGTATGTTCATGGCGATAAAAAATAATTAATGTACATATAATATTTTCTGGGAAAAATCATCGCTGCTGCTATATTTCATAACAAACCGATTAGCATGCTTAAACTATCAAGATGACATTGGTAACACAATTGTAGTAAGCATCTATGTTAGTCTATTAATTCTGCCACTTTTATTTTGACGTAAATTTCAAAGCAAGTCCATCAGAGTCAAATATAATAGCACGATAATGTAAGTTTTATAGATGACTTACCAGTTATCTTTGCAACTTATTCGAAATCGATGCCCAGGCAGGAGGACATCCACTTTAAAATCCGAGGTACATAAACTTTAATTGAATAATGGAATATTGTTAATCTCAACTAGAAACGCGTCTTTTCATATAAACAGTAAATTCGTCGTATGCTATCAAAAAAGACGTGACAGTGAGGAATGACCAATGATATTCAGGGTTATCTCATAATCAGCCAATGGGGTTCGAGTTCGCGGAAGATTGACAGCAGGGATTGATGACGTCTGACAGCGGCCTCGACCCGCCCTGTTTGGTGTATCACATCAGAACGCATTACGGATCATCTTTGGCACATTCATTTTTACCACATGAATTGACTCATTTTAAACGTTTATAATTAAAAAACAACCGTCTAACTGAAACATTGTATTGGATGCAACTGCTTTCCTTCTTATAGCAGTATCAAAATTCCTGTCGAAATGGTCATTACAATATCTGTGCTCAGTATGAGGATATGTTTTCACCGGATGTTGAGACCACTAATAATTCATTTGACCGCCTGTTGTTATCTTGACTTGCACAAGCAGACTCTGAGTCTACTGTACATATATGGCTCCTTAATAATACAGAAATGGTCCTTGATACATGATACACAGACAACAATTGGTGAAATAATACTATTCTTAAATTACACAAAGGTTGTTTTACATATTCAAATTTTAGGTCAGTTATTGTGATACTGAAATTAATCTTCCAGTTCAATACTCTATTATACAGCAGTCCACAGCAATATGACTGAGATTAAAGGCTGTAATACATCGGTAAGCTTTAAACTACCTGCTGACGTCTTTTTTTTACATTATTTATTTTGATTAAAGGCATAATGACTGTCCTTGTGGAATGGTTGTAATAGCATAAATAACATTAAGTAAAAAAATAAAAATAAAATAAAATTTCTTAACACAGTAGTAATTGCACTTAAACAAAACTAGTCAAGTTTCCAATTATCTTTCAACAATGGTGTCTCTGTCAATGGTATAATAAAATACAGCATTAATGATTATTTCTGTTAAAAGACACCATAACAACAACAAAATATTTTACCACATTATTCTAAGCAATGGTATTTATGATAAAATATAAGCCAGTGTTTCTTAAAGTTTTACAGAGGCATCTGTACATTTCAACCACCAGCAGTGTTCCAATATCCAATGTGATACCTACAAACATGCAGATTTGTATAGAAATGCCTATTTGGTATGCTTCAGATAAGCACAGAGAATAAACAACAGGGACAGCAGACATTCAGGTCTGAAGACTTCAAAATGGAAAATGAGAGAACAGTGCGTATGAACTTGAGAATACAGTAATTTGAGCCAGTACCTAATATATATTTGCATATAACTAGCTGGGTATTGTGCAATCTACATTAGTCTTTGGCCTTTGGTTGATAAAGCTGGACTGTCTGTAGTATCTCTGGTACAAAGCAGTAGCAGAATCCAAATTTTCTGAGGTATTTTTAGGCTTTCAGGTTATCCTTATTAGCTTTTTGAAATTTGATAGGAAACCGGGAGTGGTCATGAAGTCAGTCAGCACATTTAAGGTATGATTACAAATATGAGTATCATACAAAGATAACATGCCAATATCTTAGGTTAAAATCAACGCCACCAATGAAAGGACCTTATTTGCATCCTAACACAGTGGTTCCCAACCCTGGTCCTTGAGGCACCCCAACACTGCACATTTTGCATGTCTCCTTAATCAAACACACCTGATTCAGACCATCAGCTCATTAGTAGAGACTTCAAGACCTGAAATTGGTGTGTCAAAGACATCATCAGACATCAAAACAAATTATATTTCTACATACCAAAAATAATGCGCACTGTAAATCAAAACGATATCCTTTGTAAAATAAATTTGGTTCGATATTTGCCATTTAAAATTTGGAAGCACACAATAACTTTCTAAAACATGAGGGTGTGTATTACCAAGTATAAGAGGAAGGGCCAGCCGATAACATGTTTTACTATGTTCTCCGCATTCAGCTTCTCGTGAGAGTTTGGTCCAAACGTCACAAAGAGGTAAGTACCGCCTGCCGTCAAGGCACAGCCCAGGAAAGTTAAGATGTAGCGCTCTACAAAGACAAGCACAGGGATGTTATACTGCTCTGCATTTAATTTATTATATTACTAATACAATATATTAGCAAGTAGTTACTTGTTGCTTAGCAACTCATGGCCTCAATCTTTTGAATAAATAGCTGAGAAAATACAGCTGGCACATCAAAGCTAGCATTATGTTGTGAGTTATGCAACTGAAGGCAATCAGTATGAATTATCAGAATTTTGTTTCTTTTATTCCTTTATATGCACTGAGAAAGATGAGCAGAACTCACTCAAGAATTCTTGTGCCTTCCACTTTTCCCGCAAAAACAGGAAACCCAAGATGGAGCTTGCTGTGAAAATCAAAATAAACATGGGTTGTTACTTGAAATAAAATAAAATATACCTAAAAGGTTACTTCAGCTAGTTGCTAAAGAAACATCTCTCATTATCATTCAATTTAACTTCAAATACTAAAACTAAAATAAAAATTCATAAAAACTACATAGACATATTTCAAGAAAAAATTCGAACTAAAATCAAAATGAAAAGAAATTCTAAATATTAATAAAACTATACTAGTATCATGATACTAAAATAACACTCTATTACATATAAAATTAACATGAATATTTTAATTATATCATATGGTAAAAAGTTTAGTGAACAGTAAGTCAGACTATGAATACCTACATATAACAGACACAGCATTAAGTGGTGCTATAAGAGAGAGCGGTGCAAATGCGTAAGACACAAACAAGGCGCCCTCCCCCAGAACCATCAGCATCAGGCCAGACCACCAGGTCTTTGTGTAGTAGTATTGCCTCGGGTCTTTATTTCCTGCCAACGTCACATGACTTTGTTTCTGCAAGAGAAAACATCAGTCGTGATGACGTGTGTTTCTTTTACACCTTCTTATTAAACCCGCTCCCTTGGATACTGTAACAAACAACAGCTGGGTTATAAAACAAGATGTTGAGAAGTAAATAAAAGCGTCTGAATTTCACCTGACAGGGCGTAACCTGAACACACCCTGACCCTGAATCACAATGCAATTAGAAATGTAGGCTGCAAATACACACTTACCTGAATGCTGACTGAGATGCTGACCAACAGGTTTCCAAAGATAGCTAACAACGTTCCAATGAGGTTTTCCTGTGTATAAATCACAAAAATAAGACTTTGACGTGTCACCCATGGACAGGATAATAGTTTACAACATTTAGTGTGCATAAAAGCAAAACACAAGACACGTAAATCATCACGCAACCATCCGGAAAGTCATGTTAAAATGTATAGATGTTTACAATAACAAGTAAATGTGTATGTAATAGGAATGTAACGGTGACTAAATTGGATTACATGGAACTTAATGGTTGCCTTGCTCTTAAACAGCCAGTTTAGAAAAAACATACTAGTTATTTCAAGATCAGTTTTTGTAAACTCGTAAAAAAGAGTTTCGGTTTGTATTTGTAGTTTGATGTTTACTACAAACATCACGTCATAGACTCACGGTGTAAGAGTCTGCCGTCACACCGTCCTCCTCTCGTGCCATCCTCACGCCGTTCATCCTTAAATCAGATGATATTCCCGTTATATACGCATTACCGAGCCCGTCCCACAGCTCGGTCCAGTCGGGACTTGGACGAAAGTCAGCTCTACTTTCCTCTGTTTTGGCAGCGACTTTCGTAGATCGCCATTTTCGAAAAGTCGTACTTCTTTCCGGGTACACCTGTCAAGGGACTTGTGACGTTGTACACAGGTTCTGTGTGACGTCGAGTTTGAGGGATGTGATGAGGAACGCATTCTGTGCAAAAAAAAAACCAAACAAAAAAACCCCGCTGTGTGAGCAAAGAGTACTCTTTGGTATGATGGAGGACAAGTGAATCCACAATAACATTTTTACTGCTTTGACGAGTTTTATTTGGATGGTGAAAGTATGGAGGCTGTAAAGCCGCTTTGTTGTAATATGCACTTTAAAAATAAATTGAAAATAATGTTTTGCTGTTTACTTACTTAATTCAAGGTAAATGTTATCAAGTTATTTAATTTAGGATACAACATCTTACCTTTATAATACCATGCTTACTACTTTCTTACACAGTAGCCTAAAAAGTGGTCTGGTGGTCTACACTTGGAATCAGTTTTGGACAGCAGGTGGCACAAGTGCACCTTCGTAAAAAAAAATCCAGAGTCTGGTCATGGTTTGACTCTGCTGTTGTACCACACAGCATGGCATAAAACTCAGCTTTGGATATACAGCTTTATGTGAGAGTAGTTACCTCTAGAAAGCACAGTTGGAGTTAAGATCCAACTTTCTCAAGACCTACACCCAGACCAAACTAATACCACATCTGGGCCATAACCACCATAGACAAGAGTGGATCAGCAATATATCTTTTAATAAAGTTTCACTTTTGGGGAACCAGTTTTGAATGTTTAGTTACATCCTTATGCCAGACCCCCTGAGATCCAGACTAAGATCTGATTTAGTGAACTGAAATGCTGATTTTATACAGTAGCCAAGTAGTTTAAAGCCATAGAGGTCTTGTAAATTCCCTGCAGTGGTAAGGATATTGTGTCAATATGTGCTTGAGGTAATTATTATCTGTAGTTTGTTGGAAATTATTTAGTTAATTAAGAGTAATTACCCACGTACCCACAACAACATGTTTATATGAGACCAAGACCACAAGACTCTGCCTGAAAGCAGTTGTGACTTCACCTTGAGTAATACAATGTTCCAACACTGATATTTTGCAATTTTCCATTATCATATCCCAGAGCTATGAGGTTCTAACTAGGAACAATGATTATGACATTCATCAATTATATCTTGGCACAGCTGAAATGACGCACAAACCATTCCTGTTGTTTTAGGGTCCACTAATTCCTGTAGGCGAAACAGGTGTATTCCAACTTTTTTTCACCTGCCAGTGACAGATAAAACACTGTGACAATAATGAGTAAATGTAAATGGGTTATGGTGTGACTGACATGAAACAAATCTGTGACCTTTCACCATTTCGTCAAGGATAAAAGAAACTACAGTCATTTCATTTTTTTGTAGAGAAGAGGTACACCCATGTTGTAATAGTTACTGATGTTATTAGAAATGTGTCATCACTGTACGCATGTTCAGATGTCATTGGGTTTGAAAGGCCTGTGGAAAGCGGACCTTCAGATCATCCATTGAAAGTACCAGGACTATTTTAAACTCCTGATCAGTATGCAAAATGTCCAGAAACATTTAATCGATTAGTCTGGATATCCGCTCAAATGGATTGGAAATAAACAGGAAGATAAGACATTTTACCTAGCAATAATTTGAATAACAATTTGCACAAAAAAATTAAAAATAAATAATAAAATAATAAACCTGTAGTTTTTTATGATTATTATTTAGCAATAAAAATAACCTGTAAAAAATAGGAACAGAAAACATCTTTGACAGCAAGGTATCAGATTTATTTTCCTAGTTTCATGGAATATATCAGGAATGATCATTTGACTTGAGGCAAGATCTGAATATCAAAAGTATTAGAAAGAATTTTACAAAACATTGGAGAGATGCCACAGTAGCCTGTAGATGCATCAGACAGTTGCAGAGCATCAGGCTTCCCTGCCGTGATGTTTCCAACACTAATTATGAATGATTAATAATGCTTCTATCTCTGTGGTAATTTACGCCCTTGCACTGACACCCGGAAAAAAAGGAACATTCTTTCCCTTAAGGCCTGTCCTCAGGAGGGGAACAGCACTCCTGATGGAATGATGTAACTTACTGTGAAGTTTCAGAGTAAAATCTTTAGTATGGCCTCTTTCAATTTCAACTTTCTCAGAGAAAGAAGTACAACAGAAGCTTTAGCTTATGTTTTCAAAGTTTTAACAGTTGAAGTGAAAACATTGCAGTTGAGTTTTGTACAATTTGTCATGTACATACATTTTTTTTGTACCGTTAAGTATAATATACCAGAAAATTGTTTATGCCTGTCACTGTCAAAAAATCTGTGGCGCAGGAAATAGCCCCTCAAAACAGACTCTAAATATGCAAAAAACAGAAGTTCAAAGAAGGGGCATGAAATCAGCCTAAAATGGAAAATGACTTTCAGGACGATTGTGCAAGGTGTAATTCCTCTTTACCTTTTGATGTATTTGGGAAATACCAGAAAATGATCTTTTCACTTCCTGAAACTCTATTATTTTATGTGTAATAAAATGGAATGACACGGGGAAAAAAGTATTGAACTACTGAAATGTGTTTAATACTTTGTACAAAAGCCTTTGTTTGTATTGACAGCTTCAAGACACCTCCTGTAGGAGAAACTATTCGCATGCATTGCTCGGGTGTGATTTTGGCCCATTCTTCCACACAAACAGTCTTCAAATCTTGAAGGTCCCATGGGCCTGTTCTATGAACTCTAATCTTTAGTTCTTTCCATAGATTTTCTATTGGATTCAAGTCAGGTGATTGGCTGGGCCACTCTAGCGGCTTTATTTTCTTTTTCTAAAACCAATCGAAAGTTTCCTTTGCTGTGTTTGGGATCATTGTCTTGCTGAAATGTCCACCCTTGTTTCATCATCGTGCTACTGTAGGTGTTGGGACTGAACCAGCTAATATTAATTTCCCAGGATTGCTTTACTGATAGATTTCAACTGGTGTCTTGGTTTTCCATGCCTTTTTTGCACCTCCCTTTCTTCATGTGTTCACTCATTTTTCCCTGTGTCATTCCATTTTATTACACATAACTTAATTTCTGAACTTATTTTATTTTATTTTTTTGTATGTAAGGATTACTTGGGTCGTTACCGACATCTGGTGAAAATTTCATGTCAACAGCATCTTTATAAATATATTTTCTGAGAAAAATGGTGACGCGTTCAATATTTATTTTACCCGCTGTATATATATATTAACTAAACGGGTCAAATGTATGTAATCTTCAGGTGTGGTTTTGTTTCATGTTGCAAGTGTATATTCTCTGAATAAGAATTCTTTAAAACGTTCCTTTTAACCACAGCATTTTTTCTGTTGTTTGTTTTAGTTTATATGAAGCACATTCAGCTCACGCCTCAGAAATGAAAACATACTTTACATATGAGTAAGTCAAAAGCTCTCTAAATAATACAAAATTAGCTTGCAGTATGTGACAGCAGCCACCTGTTTTAAAGTGTCAGTGAAGACCTGTTATGATGATTTTAATTAAGCAATATCTGTACATTGCTTTTGCATCATGATCATGAAATTAGGTTTATGTGACACAATTATAAGGAACATATAGTTCTATTTAAACATATAGTTCATCCACAATTGGAAACATGACTGACTCAGAATGAGTTATTCTGAAGACTGTGCAGTGTCATTTCTCTCCATGAATTTACTATTAATAGAGACTGCAACTTCAAAGCTTCACAAAGGATGCAAAAGCACAGAATACAGTAATTAAAGTGGCCTATAACTTGTGCGCTGTATTCAAAGTCTTCTTAATGATGTGATATTATTCGTTTTCAGTAAGTAACAACTTCAGTTTCTTGGAAACAAACAAACAGACAAAAAATGAAGAGTACAGTTCTTCATAATTTTCTTATTATGTAACACATGAAGAAAGAAAGTTGGTTTGGAACAAAACAAGGGTGTTACTTTAGTGCATTTCATAGGGAAGCCAAAAAAGATTTTTTTCTCCTGGACATCAGTCAGATTAAATGGAGTTTAGGTCTCCTGCTTCACTGATTTTTCTCCTAAAAAAGATCTCTCATGTGTCTCTTTAGCAATGTCACAATCTGTGCTCAGATTTCTCATCCAGCATCTCCAGGACCATTTTTCCATGTTTGAGTAAAATGTATTCCTCTGGTATGGTATATAATACTTCATCATTTATCAGTCAGTTCTTTCTTTGTTGTATTGAAACAAGCTAGCATACATGCAATTGCCAATCTTTATGTTAATACTAAATTAACCTCTCTCCCACCCACTTTAACAGCAGAAACTATCATATTTCATTATGAGTGAGAATTTCCACAGCACAGATAGCCTACAGCAGATAAGCATCAAGCAGCAGTGTAAACATAGCATAAACAAAACATAACTTGAATTTCACTAAACTAGACAATTTTTTAAGGGCACAGTGTATTATGATTCTTCATATGCTTTCATGGCCCTATAATCCTTCCTATGCCTTTATGATACTGTGTGTCTGTGTGTGTGTGTGCGTGCACACACTCAGGGGGTTATTCAGACTAGCTGACAGACCAGTTGTCGGCACTTCATCCCTCTAATAAATCAGGCATTTCTAAAACTCTACCTGTATTCATGCTACCTGCAGGCTCATACTTCAATGGCAATTTAGTCTTTCTTTACAGCCTCTGTCATTTGAAATTCAGCAAGACAACAACTTAAATGCAATGTTTTCTTCATGTTATGCTGGCTGATATGACTCCAGTTTCACTTAAATTTACAACTGAAAGGCTTTTACAAAAAATTACAACTGAAATCTTTGAATCTGAAGTTAATCATTTGAGAAATTCATCATTTTAACCTTAATTTATTAATAAAAATAATTTTCTTATGCAAATGTGCTGAAACGAGTTTATATCTTCATCAGAACAACTTGCTCACCGAATGGATCCTCTGCAGTAAATGGGTGCCGTCAGAATGAGAGTCCAAACAGCTGATAAAAACATCACAAAAACCCACAAGTAATTTACACAACTTCAGACCATCAGTCTTGTGAAAAGTTGC